TTCCTTCCTTCCTCCCTACCCCCCTCCTGCCCCCCCACCCATCTATCCATCCATCCAACTTGTATCAAGGCAACACAAGACACACAACAATAAAATAAAGCACAGTTATCAACAGAACACTTTATGGTCACAGCAAAAAGCATCCCCGGGCACCATATCCACAACCCAAATTGAAGTGATGTGATGCTTAGAACCACGGCCTTCCATATAAACCCATCACTGCAAGAAAGTGCTACACTCTTGAACTGGGTCAGTGCTGAAATCCAGACCTGCCATAAAGCAGAGTGAACCATTGTGTCTAGAGTTTTAGGGGGAAGTGCAACCTATCTAAAATCTGCATACTCATACAGTGGGGTCTTGACTTGAGAACTTAATCCGTATTGGAAGGCGGTTCTCGAGTCAAAAAGTTCTCAGGTCAAATCTGCATTTCCCATAGGAATGCATTGAAAACCATTTGATCCGTATCTGCTCTTTTCCGTCCATAGAAACTAATGGGAAGCTGCTATTCCGCCTTCGACCCCTAGAGGGGGATATTTTGTTTCTTTTTTTCTTAGGTCAAGAAAGGTTCAGGGAAGGCAGGGAAAATACAGTCCAGGCAGTACCAGGCAGTCCGAAGACTGTCTCCCAATCCACTCTCTAAACGCTGGGAGGAGGGAGGAAGCAGACAGGCACCCTTTTCACTGGCCAACAGTTAACTGAAAGTTCACTTTTTGCACTTTCCCTGCCTCCCACGTGGGTTTTTTTCAGTTCTTAACTCAAATCTAAGTATGTAAGTCAAGTCAATATTTTCCTATGAGAGTGGTTCTTAAGTCAAAATGTTCTTAACTCAAGCCGTTCTTAAGTCAAGACCCCACTGTACCTTGAACTTGAACCCCCCTGGACATAAAAACCACCATAATTTGGGGGCATCTCTGGGTTCTCTTAACTTTCTCTGCATTTGTCAATAGATTTTTTTTTTAGTCAATATTTTCCTATGAGAGTGGTTCTTAAGTCAAAATGTTCTTAACTCAAGCCATTCTTAAGTCAAGACCCCACTGTACCTTGAACTTGAACCCCCCTGGACATAAAAACCACCATAATTTGGGGGCATCTCTGGGTTCTCTTAACTTTCTCTGCATTTGTCAATAGATTTTTTTTTTCCTGCTTGTCTTTCTGTGAATCGAACAGAAGTTGGCAGGCTTCTGAAACTAGGCACAGGAGTTCGTTCCAAGACATGGAGACTTCCATTTGGGATTCAAACTTCTGGCCCTTTCTGGAACCATGGCAAAGAGTGATGTCAGTTCTAAAGAAAGTCTCCAATTTACATGTGTGCAATTCCACTTCTTACTACCCTGTCATTACAGCACAATGTTGTCCGCGCTCTCCCATTAAAGTCATTCTCTCCTGAGATATGACCCACATGTTTTCATTTTCTGTGTCCCAATGAACCTGAGCAGGTGACCGTCTCCCCTACAATTGTTACATTTGCTATGATTATATATCCTCCAGTTCCTCGGAGAGCAATCATAGACACGAGGAAAGCAACAAAGCAGATACTTAAGGATGGTTTTTAATATTTGTTGTGCCACTTTGGCCTGGGACTTGAGATAGACATGGGTCCATCATCCTGATAGCTGAACATCTGTCCAGTTTGCTGTCGTGGCTTCTTTCATCAGAGTGAGTGGATGTTTCAGTCCAACTCTGCTTTTCAGAGACAGTCCAGTGTCAACGAAGGAAGAAAGGGTATGGTCTGGGAATGAAGATTTTCATTCAAGATGGTGGTCTTAGAGGTGCTGGTGTTAGTGCTTCTTCCTCAGGCAGTATGCCAGCTTGCTCCCCTGAGATGTATTTCCAGTGATCCTCTTCCTCTTCACCAGAAGTATCAGTCAGGAGACCTCTTAGTCGGTGGAATTCTTTCTCAGACCTTCTATTTTTTAAGTGAAACAAAATTTGAAGAGCGCCCTTCTCCAAAACTGTTCTTTGACCTTGTGTAAGGAGATGGACTTTTTAAAATATTATATATAAAAAACACAAAATAGGGCCCTGTGAATGTTCTTTGGTGGGTTGATTCAAAGGCTAGATTTTACATTCCGTAGTTTGAATTTTGTTGGTGATTTAGACAGGGACTAAGAGAAATTGCATAAGCTATGGCTCGTAATCAGCAAGGTGCCATGTTCCAGGCGATACGTCTATCACATGACTGGGCATGCACCCTGGAACACAACTTGTATCTTGTTAAATAGCAAGAATTGGTCACTGCAACTTACGCAGTTTCACTTACACGGCTGTAAATCCCTGATAGGATTCTGGCAGATATATATTGGGAAATGTTTTGAATTGTTTTGGGGTATACAGAAAATCTGGTGCATGAGATCTCTCTGCATCCTATAGGACTTCCTTATTGAACAACAACGGATTTGGAAATGTTGAGAATGTGAAGTTATTCTTACGTGCAACATGAGTCACAATAACAGTGTTCAGCATTTTTATGTCAATGAGAATTCTGCTCGGTATATTATAACTGCTGGATAGCTCAGTGGTTTCGGTATCCCGAGTCTGGGGGTTCAATTCCCCACTGTGCTAGATGATCCATAGCGTCCCTTCCAGCTCTTCAGTTCTAAGATAATGATGATGACAATTGTATCTTTACTTTATTTATTATTGTTGTTTTCTTGCTCCCAGAAGTTGTCATCATTATTCTAACAAGTGTATAAAGAGTTACTTTTGCCTTTCTTAATTAGAGATATGGGTATTCGTATACAAATATCCC